AAACCTCAAAACTTTACTATTTTTTTTCTCGGAAACTATTTAAGATATTGAAACAGGTTAAAGTGTAAATAGTAGGTATTCATTAGCTGTATTTCATTTTTTTTCAACATTTTTATCCGATGATTAAGGGTTGAAAATTAATAAATAAATTTTTGAAAGTGATTTTTATAAACAATCCTTTGAGTGACACCCACCGAAAAAATTAACAATAATCTTTTACTATTTAACTATTATCTGTAGAAGTTTCAAGAGAGCTACTTTTCTGAGAGCTGTTTCTGGTATGAGAAACGTGGTGGGTCGGCGCAATGTATTCCCGTATAGGTCGGTTAGGTTGAGCGTCTCTAACGTTCAGTCCGGCTTTGCCTTATGAAGGGGCGTTGCATTGGTTTTATTCTTTTTCAACTATGATGTACCAATCCGACACTCTTGAAACTTTTACAGATAATAGTTAAATAGTAAAGGATTATTCTTAATTTTTTCGGTGGGTGTCACTCAAGGGATTGTTTATAAAAATCACTTTCAAAAATTTATTTATTAATTTTCAACCCTTAATCATCGGATAAAAATGTTGAAAAAAAAAAAGTGAAATACAGCTAATGAATACCTACTATTTACACTTTAACGTGTTTCAATATCTTAAATAGTTTTCGAGATGTCACGTAGACAGACCGTTTTTATCAAACGTGTCTCCTTTCAAATAAGCTTAAACATCTGGAAAGGAAAACTCTCGGGCAAACCGACCATTTACTCTCGTAATAAACAGAAGGCCCACCGATAGCAGAACCAAACACTTGGGAAAGCAATGGGTCCGCCGTAATCAAATAGCAGATGCAACCACTCTAAACTGTCGCAGAGGCAGGTGGACCCAGCCTGATCACTCGAATAGTAACCAGACCACCCTTCTTAATTAGTATATAAATCCGTTCGTACCAACGATCGGGGGCAGTACCAGAGTTCATCTCGTGTCGAGCACGTCGTGTACGGTAGTGAGTTGGTTACTATTAGTGAGATCGGGTTGAAGTCCCCTTCGAGCAACATTCACCTTATAGAATCCGCGAGTCGTGTTTCTATTTGGCATTACAATCAACCACACACAACACCCCCGCATTGCCAGTGCGTGAACACCGAGCATAGTGGAAATAGGTAATATATCACATTATACACCTATATTCGCGACAACAACATCTGTAATAGACCAAGATTGTAGAATATATACATTGCTGTGTCAAACCCAAATTAGCATTCTCCTTTAAACCCAGTGAAACCTTGTGACAGTTCCTACCACAATACAATCTTACCGCTCGGGTTGTATTGATAATAAAATAAGTTACGCGGCCGCCAATCAGAAAGCCTCTGATAGCCACGCGCGCTGCCAAGTCGTCGGCCACGTAACAGAGAAAAAAAATAGTAAAGTTTTGAGGTTTTACCCTCATATCTCCCTTATCAGAGGGGGTAGGGGGTTGAAATTGCACACAATTGTTGTTTAGGCAAAAAGCATTATGTTATATAAATATCAACCGAAATTGTTGCTGGGGCCGATTCACTATGCTTATACGGCTAGACCCTTTGTTAAATTTGACATTATAACCATGGTCTGTTATCTTAGCTACAGAAAGTAAATTAGCGTTTAAATCAGGTACGCATAACACTTTCTCAAGTCTCACCTTCTTTTCACTTGAAGATTGTCTCAAAATTACTTCACCAGTATCCTCAGATATCAATTTTCTTCCTTTTTTATCTGCCAGTGTAATATCCCTCTTTTCATGAAATAGTTTGTTACATATTTGTTTGTCGTGTGTCATATATGACTTGTGGAACCAGAATCCAACAACCAAATACAACAATTATTATTTGCACCACCCTCAAGTTCCTTTTTAATTGTCTCAGAAATTGTTTCTTTTTGTGAAATGTCTTCCACTCTTAATACAGCTTCATCTGTGGTTTGCAATGAAACTTCATCTCGTTCACAAGTCTGTCTGCTTGTTCTTCCTCGAAATCTTCTTTCGAAATTTCCTCTGTGTCCTCTTCCTCTAAAGGTTACATTTTTCTTTGGTACTTTACAGTTTGCAGCCACATGATTGAATCCTTGGCAGTTAAAACAGTGTTTGCTTTTGTAACATTGTTTGGCCACATGCCCTTTCAATCCACAGCTAAAACAATGAATATCATTTTTGGATCCATCCCTCACTTTCCTCACCATTTCTTGGTCTCTGTGGGATCTTTCTTCTTTCATAGTTTCCCTTCTAATTTCTTCCTGTTTAAGAGCAAACCGTATGCCATTGATAGTAACATTCTTTTGTATTTCTAACACCCTCACATTTGAATCATATTCTTGTCTGTCAAAATCTTCTATGCCCTTCCCCAATTGTACAGGGTGTAAAAAAACTAAATGTCACGAACCACGTGGGGTGATTCTACACTTCTGGATCAGTGGAGATCTGTCAAAGAAAGCGACCGCAAAATTGACCTTGACCCCTAATTTCAAGGTCAAATTTTTTTATTGGCTTATCGTACAATGCTCATCGTGGGGATAAAAAGTCTGATAGGAACCATGTGCCGAAAATCAACCCTTCCTCTAGAAAATAGCCGTCAAAATTTTCCTATACATTAATGCATTAAACGTTGAGTCCCGCGGTACCCCTCTCCAGCGTCCTTGGCGCGTCAGTCTCGCGTATCGCTCGAATTTGATGTTATAAGACAATTCTTGAATTTCAATCACAATGCCAGCATATAGGAAAGGTTAATTCTAAGAGAGCATATTTAAAAACTCAAAATAGCTACTGCGTTTAAAAGAAAATGAAAATCAATTTACAGTAAAAGCTGGATATATGCAATAAACCTTGGGACCCAGACGTTGCATATATCCAACCAATCTTTCGTTGCATATATCCAGCTTATACTGTAATTCGCTGAAGTTTTGCACTTCGAATATAAACGCAAGATAAATGTTTAGTTTTATTATTTCACAGTTCATTAACACATCGCAGTTAATGCATCAGTTAATTATTACGAAAAGAACTGCATCAAATATTTATTATCTTATTATATTTATTATTATATTACTTATTATTTTTTATATTATTATCTTATATTATATATTATTATTTTATATAATTATTTTATATTATATTTTTATTATTATTGTATTACTTATGTTATTTATATATTATATTACTTATATCAGTTTTTATCATACTTGTATCATATTATATTATATTACGAATGTTTCAATTAAATTCATTTTTATTTTTATTTAAACGCAGTAGTTATTTTGTGTTTTTAAATATGCTGTCTTGGAATTTACCTTTCCTATATGCTGGCATTGTGATTGAAATTCAAAAATTGTCTTATAACATCAAATTCGAGCGATACGCGAGACTGACGCGCCAATTCCTACATATCACCTCGGCCACCGCAGCACGATTTCCCCCACAACGCCTCCCCGCTTCCTCGAAAGAGCTAATAAGTAGAGTAATGCGCACTCCTAAACAGTGTCGCTGTCAGACGCGCTCTTTGAGCCGGTTTCGTGCCCATGCCTGCTCTATAGTCTACCAAAAATGCGGATTACCCTTCTCCCTCCCAATAAGAAATTATTAAAATAAGTAAAAATAAACAAATACCCGTATTTGTAGCTTCAGTACATGAATTTTTATATTATTATTCTTTACTTTATTTATATTTACTGTATTAGATACGAATTATACCACGTACAATACAAAATCAGTAATTATCCGGGTACTCGTAATTTCTACACTCCAATGTTTACTCAAGACCCGAAACTAAATTACATTCGATTATACGCGATAATTTATAACATTTTCAAACATAAAAATTTTAGGCTAGCTTGAAAAATCATACCCCGAATGTAATTTCGGATCTTGAGTCATGTTCGAGTCCTGAAAGGAGTTCGAGTCCCGAGTTGATATTCGAATCCCGAAATTAATCGGGGTCTCTCCCGACCCCACCCAATCCAAGGCTCAGGTATCCACACACCCCCAGTAACCATATTTTTAATAAGAAAAAAAAATTTCAATTTCCATAAGTCCTATGAAACGCACGGATATCAAAATGTTAACATACTGATTGCCACGTTGAAACTATTAAAAATTTCATTAAATAATATTTTCATTTATATCTTACCTACAATATTATTTTCATAATATTTCATTATATATAATTTTAAGAATCTACTAGGCATATTTTTGATTAGGTTAGACAAAAAATTCCTGCCAATATAGATGATGAATTCGTACAGAAATTTAAGCGCCATACATAGTGCATTGTGGCCATACATAGCATGGCAGTTAACATGTTAGTAGAAATAAAAACAGAATAATATTTTAGTTACGTGAAATGATTAGTAAAAATTATGTTAAAATTAAACAATAAAGTTATTGGGTCTGGTCCACCTCATCGTCAAACAAAAATACTAGTTACACCAATGGTTATTTTTATTTGCAAATAATTTATTTATGTCACACAACTCCCAATATGTAATAGCGATATGAATATGTATATGAATTAAATAGATTAATTATATAGAATTCATACCCAATATCGTAAATACCATTGAGTGCAGTTAAACATGTGCTTTAACGTGTACAGCTTTAATTAAACACTTTAGATGTGTACACGCGCGACCAAATCAGGCTTCCGCAGGAAATATGCTGATGTCCCAGATTCTTACCCTATCGCTCATTGTTAGTGATGTAAGACAGAACAGGTTTCTTCAATGAAGTAGTCACTCGCATAAAATGAGATTCTATAGTGCGCCGAGGTTTAATCTTTTTTAAATTATTTAATACTTTAGAATTAATTAATTCACACTGAATAAATTGATTAGCAAAATGTAATGAAAAAATATAGTAAGATTATATAATATGTAATATATATTACATATTGTCTAACATGGAAATTGATATAATTTACAATTCAAAATATGGATTATAATATATGGTTGTTATAATATAAAATAAAAAAGCGATGGTAAGGTAAAGAACCTGTTATTGTCCAGTGCAGTCCAATGCAAACTTTGGGGTCCGCATCTCCATCATGTGTAAGTAAGTACTTACGTTCTACGTTACTGTAATCGTCATCATTAGGTTACATACGTAAAAAACTCTATCCCATCTAACATCACTTCTATCACTTGCGTGTAAACATTTACGCAGGAAAATCTGAATTAATATTTATTATTCATACTTCTCAGTTAAATACTAAATTTTATAATATTTAATCATTATATTATATTATACTTTTTTTAAATTACATTTACAATTAGTATTAATATCGTCAAAATTAAGATTTTGAGAATTCCTGTTTTCCCTATATCGCCGTTTTCTTTATGGAAACCTGGTTTGAACGTAAGTGTATTTAATTGATAATTTTTATGACATTAAAATAAATGTAAATTAATTTTTGTAAAAACTAACTAAATTTTATTTTTAACAATTAAGAGGATTTGTATATTAACAAAAACTTACCCCAAATTACTAAAGAATCTAACGAAACATTTTCCAAAAAATTGCATCACATTATCTACGGTCTCGCCATTGAATGCAACCAATGCAGCAGCTAAATTCGTCATAAGCTCGTCAGGATATGTTTGTCGTGTATTGAAAACAATATGTTTACACTCAGCTTTTTCCACGATCTGAAGCCACACATCTTCGCCATATTCTAACTGCAATATAAAGTTTATTGCATTTTTAGTATGGTTATGAATATATTATTCATACCTTTTGAAGACAGAGGAATATTCAAGTTTAATATCAGTATGTAAATATACAATTCATAAACATAATTCCACAGTACATATTTAGACTTTTAAATATTCAGAAAATAGTATTATGATTTCCTATTAAGTCAGTGGCGGATCTAGAGGGACAATCTCTCTCTAAGAGTGAAAAAAATATATAAAAATATTATGTCAGATTCCGAGAAACTTTTTAAATATACATACATACATAATACATAAATAAATATACATAAATATACATACATATATAATACATAAATAAATATACATAAATATACATACATATTCTACCAAAAAAGTTATATACATTTTTTATGTAAACGTATCATTTTGGCTATTATCAATAATAATAGTATCTCTTCCCCAGAATTTTCTAAGTTTCAACAGTAAATCATTTCACATGTTCATGTATGTACGTATAATTATTATTGAAGTATTTAGGTTAAGTTTGAATACACAGTTAAATCTAACGCTTTCATTTACGCATATCTTTATAATGAATTTATTATTATTTCATGAAAGCGTTGCCGGAAAGTGCGAATTATATGTTCGGAAAAGATCACCAATTATATTTCGAATGTCGCCCTTCGAGATTACATATACAGCATGCTTTTCCCACCACGGAAACACACACGTTTCAGAGTGTTTAAAAACTAATAGATAGCGCGGTGGTTCCATTTCCTCTGTGCGCCATCTTTCCTCATTGTTTTTTCGTGTGTCGAAGAACGCACATGTTTCATTGAGTGTAACGGTTCCTTTAATAAAGAAAATGGGAAAATTGAAGAAAAGAAGCAGGTCGAGAGAACATGAGAGGTATCTTCGAAAGAAATTAGCAAAAATACAGTCTAAATTAGCAAAAACTACTTCGAATGAGAGTTATATATTATCGAGTAATGGAGAGGTTATGGGCACAGCCCAAACTGTCTCAAATGTGATAAGTCCACAGGACTCTCTATTGGCATTATCAGGTAAGGGAAATAAAATGAGATGTTCTTTTCTTTCTTTAAAAAAAAAAAAAAAATCGAGGCGATGACTTTAACTAGAGACAAAGCAGATCGCACTCATCTTCTGGTAGAACTTATCCTTAAGGACAGTCACCCAAAATGTTTTATTACTTGGTATATAGGTGATCTGACAGAGGCTGATAAGGAAAATTCAGATCCCTCTCTTAATACGGGATCACAGGTCCAAGTTCCTATACCAGCTGTGTCACATACACAGACTGAGGATAATCTTACATTAAACCAACCACCCAAGTTAGACGAAGAAGTTCTTCGCGTACTTGGTACTTCTGTCAAGACTCAAGAAGAAAAAATGAAACTGCACCCAGATTTGACCGCTTTGTTAGTCGATTGGACAACAACTGATCGTTCAAAAGAGTTAAAAGAAACATTACTGCCGAAATACCCCCAGTCGTATTGAAGATTGTTTGGTTGAGGCCCCTAAACTCAATCCTGAAATAGGGGCAACGTCTTCCGAACAAATAATTAAACGGGATACTCATTTCCTTGATAATCAAAATATAGCAGGCTCTGCGATAGTGGCTTTAGCTACAATATTAGATGTTGTATTAACAGAAGAGGAAGACGTAGACAGATTGAATCTCATTGAAAAATTAGGGGATGCCTCAAAACTATTGTCACAACTCTATCGCAATTTTTCGGTCGCCACAAGAGCATTTATTTCTCCAACAGTAAACAAGGAATGTCGAACAACTCTTGATGAGTCAAAACCTGATACTTTCCTGTACGGAGAGGGACTGTCGGAAAAAATCAAAACAGCAAAGTCCATTGCTAAGGTGGGTCAGGACTTGAAGGTTAAGATGGCGACAGCTAAACCTAATAACAGGTCGGTAAACTGGAGGGGCTCATTTGCACGCCAGTCGAGGGCAATGCAAGTGAGCGACAGGGCAACGACCTCGACAAGAATACCTTTCCGGAAACCCAACAGAGGGACCGGATATCAGTCTACACAAAATCAGGGCAGTTACAGACGGGGCCTGGGACGTCAGCACTCTCAGGGATACCCAGCTCAGCGACAGAAAACTCATACGAGGCGTTAGAGATAAAAACAGGCAGATTAAGATATTTTTTACCTGCCTGGAAAGAAATTACATCAGATCCCTTCATTTTACAATGTGTTGAGGGTTATAAGATTCCTTTTAAGAAAAAGGTAGTTCAGACTATGGTACCATAGGAACCTAATCGTTCTTTGTTTGAGATTACTAACATACAGCAGGCGATAGACGAGTTGATGAAGACAGGAGTAATTCTTCCTTGTCAATCGTCTGCTAGTCAATTTTTGTCCAGTTACTTCTTAGTACCCAAGCCGGATGGCACAAAGAGATTTATTTTGAATTTAAAACAACTTAATAAGTATATTGATCAGGAGCATTTCAAAATGGAAGACATTCGTACAGTACTTAAACTTGTATCTCATAATAGTTATATGTGCTCCATAGATTTAAAGGATGCATATTTCCTTATTTCAATATATAATCCACACAGAAAGTACTTGAGATTCAGATTTTTAACGCAAATATACGAATTTGTTTATTTACCATTCGGCTTATCGCCTGCTCCGTACGTTTTCACAAAGTTAATGAAGCCTCTGTTGCACTGGCTTCGGTCTAGGGGTTTAACTTCATCCGTATACATAGATGATTTTCTGGTAATAGGTCAAACTTTTAAGGAATGTTTAAACAACGTCAATCAAACTAGGAGTATGCTTATAAATTTAGGGTTTGTGATTAATGAAAGAAAAAGTGTGGTTGTTCCTACAAGGCGTTGTACTTATTTAAGTTTTGTAATTAATACAGAAACCTTTACCTTAGAATTAACAGAGATGAAGAGAGAAAAGCTCTATAATGATATAAACTCATTCGAAACAAAACAGAGGTGTAAAGTAAGGGAATTTGCTCAGTTAATAGGGGCATTAATTGCTGCATGTCCAGCTGTCATGTACGGTTTACTTTATTGTAGAAGCCTAGAAAGAGCGAAAATAACAGCTCTGACTTAAAATGGTAACTGCTATGATAAATTTATGTCGATTCCTCGGTATCTTCTGGGAGATTTAAATTGGTGGAAGGTCGCTGTTAAGAAGGACTGTAATCCTATAAAGACATATCAGTATAGAATTGAAATTTTCACAGATGCCTCGCTCACTGGGTGGGGTGCGTCATGTAAGGGTATATCAACTAGGGGACTGTGGTCTTATAAGGAACGAACAGAACACATTAATGTCTTAGAATTACTTGCAGTATTTTTGGCTTTAAAAACTTTCGCTAGCAACTTAAGAGATTGTGAAGTTCTTCTAAGAGTAGATAATACAACCATTTTTGGCTACAGGCCATTTCTTATATTAATAAGATGGGGGGTGTTCGTTTTCCTAAATTTAACAGGCTGGCAAAGCAAATATGGCAATGGTGTGAGGACTAAAGGATATGGATAGTAGCGTCATATATTAAATCATCAGAAAATTCTGTCGCAGATCGAGAATCGCGATTTAACAACATTGATACTGAATTGGAGCTTTCAGAAAGAGCGTATCGTAGGGTAACCTTAGCATTTGGAGTGCCAGAGATAGATCTTTTTGCTTCAAGAATAAACCACAAATGTGGAAGATATTGTTCATGGCAGAGGGATCCAGACTCCTATGCAATAGATGCTCTAACTGTTGGAGCGTCCACCATTAAATATTTAGAAAACGTGCCCGATATGGGCTGATCGAAATTTCATTCTAAGAAATAGATAGCGTCGAAGCACTTGGAAATAACTGGCGTCGTCCTGCCGCCATAAAACAGTCACCAACGGACCACGGTCGCAAACGTTCGAACAGTTTCGTTTTTTTTGTTCTTTCTCTTTTTCTTTACCGCGTAATTCCGAATTCAACAGCGTCTTGCCGCGATCTGGTTTCTATTACGAAGTCGAGTGCCTTTGTTCAATTACACAGTTTTTTTACTCAAAAACAAAATGCGCACGAGGCCTTACCCGGTTCGTAAACCCGAGACCTCGTCGCGCCAACAGAAATCACGTAACGCCCGGGGCCCTACCGGGTCCACTGATTACAAACCCAGGGTCCCGCCGGCAACAATCGACTCATCTGCCCGAGGCCTTACCCGGTTCGTAAACCCGAGACCTCGCGGCGGCAACAATTAAAGCGCATCGCCCGGGACCTTACCGGTCCCTGAACACAAACCTAAGGTCCCGCCGGCAACCACGAACGTCGAACGTTCATATCATCCATACATCATTCATATCACACGCGACACACTCACACACATAACTCATTCTTCAAGGGTTTTTTACGCCTCCGGGCTTTTTCCCTTTTTACTCAAACATTTCAAGGGTTTTTTACGCCTTCGGGATTTTTCCCTTGCATTCATGAATAAACTTTTATTTTACCATTTATTAATGCCGAATAATTATTTGTCAAACCAGCATCGACGAATCCTAAACATCCTTTCGAAACGTTCGGTAATCACGGTCCTTTCCTAGAACCTCGCCCTTATCGCTCTCAAGTCTTTAGCGCGCTGAAGATCTAAAATCAAAAGGGGGGAAACGGATGGACGAGAGCTGACTTTGAGAGGACGGGCACTCTTGTTCGAACCTCAAACGAAGCAAGATCCAATTCTAAATTTTCTAAAGATTTCATTTCAAAGAATAGTATTGAAACTGTTCATGTGGAAGAGTTTCGATCGTACACTAACTATTCCTTGGTCCTCGTGGTTTTTCTATGCGTTTCCGCCATTTGCCCTTATTTTACCAACGTTACAAAAGATAAGGACTGAGTAAGCCAGGGGTATCTTAGTGGTCCCTTTGTGCCCATCTCAGCCATGGTACCCCTTATTCAAATTAATGATCGTAGATGATATCATAAGGTTTGCACCCTCATTAGATCTTTTACTTTCTCCTTGTAGGAAAGTTCACTATCCTTTAGCGGTGAAGCTTACCCTGGTAGCAGCAGTTGTATCAGGAAGGCTTTTTTAAAAAGGAAATTTTCAAATGACACTATCGAGGTACTGATGGCTTCAATTACAGCATCCACGACGAAACAATATAACATCCATCTAAAGGAATGGTGGAATTTTTGCAAGAACAATAATATTGATGTGTATGCAGCGTTGCCAATCAATGTATTAGTCTTTTTAACCATGAGGTACAAAGATGGAGCGTCATATAGTTCCTTGAATTGTGCAAGATCAGCTATAAATTTATTGTATGCAGAGGGTATTTTAGACAGCCCTATAATCAGTCGATTCCTCAAGGGAATTTTTAATCTCAAGCCTCACAGACCTAAATATAAAGAAACGTGGGATACAGATAAAATATTAGATTTTATTGAAGGGTTAGGTTCTACAGAAAATCTCTGTTTGTCTACTTTAACTGAGAAGACTGTTATTTTGTTAGCTTTAAGTACAGGACATCGTATACAGACAATTGCTAGTATTAATATAGATAACATAAGCATTTCTGAGATAGATATAAACGTAAAAATTCCAGAGAGGCTAAAAACTACGAGGTCTGTTAGTATACTATTTAACGATTAAATAGATTTTATTAATAGCTGTGGAATATTGGTATAAATGAAATAGAAATTATTTTATACTTTTTAGCGCATTTTGAAGTCGGTTCAATTTTTCGTCAAAAATTATTTTATTTCACACTTTTTAGTGGTATTAGTAGGATGCCGTAAGGTAGTTTACCGTTCTTATTGGATAATTACAATAACAATAGTTATTAACAACAAATTCTATTTTTTGCAAATGGGATCATCGCGGAAATATCTTCTATTAGATGTGAAAGGTTTCATCGCGATCGATGCATTCCTTGCAGTCTAAACGTCGAAAGATATAAATGAAGCATTACGTTTCTTGCGATAAAAGTCGTTAGGAATGAAAAAGTTTAAAATATTTTTTTTACGGGACGAATCGGGAATTATACTCTATAAGATGCAAAAAGTTTCGTTCCGATTGGTCCATCCGTTTCGGAGTAATCGATGAACATGCACCGAACGTACATGAAACAGTACGCTTTTTGGAATGAAAATCGTTCAGAATGAAAAAATGCAAAATGTTTTTTTAACGGAATCAATTGGGAGACATACTCTACAAGATACAAAAGGATTGGAACAATATCTTCGCGGCATTTTTGCTTTCCACCAGTACACAATTACAGTTTTAAACTAAGAAAAACAAGAAACTGAAAAGTACACAGCATAGTTATGCACAACACTGAACGCTTAACTGAAACCGCTTGTCTCGTTGCTTTCCCAAATAAAACTGAACGGTGTTCTGGAAAAGTGAACCGCCAAAATCGGTTTGCCATACTTTTATTGACTTTTAAGGGTTTGTAGACAAAAGTACCAAAAACATGTCGATCTATTCCGTAGTTGTTAACCGATGGCTGGCTATTTGAAAAAATGTAGAGTAGCGGCGCATGGGAACCGGACGGCGCGCGATGGTCTGCTGGTAGGTCATACGCAGCAATAAAATTTTATCACTCCGGCAATTCTGCGTGTTCCATCATGAAATTTTCAGGGTATTTAGAAAACTCTTTAAAGATTCTACAGAAAAAATTTCAGACTGATTCGTGCTCCCCCTTGGGATTATTTTCAAGTTTGAAAATTATAAACATTATTTACAACAATTTGAAGATTGCATTGAAACATGTAGTAATTTTTTTATTAAACTTTGAAGTTTTACCTATAAAATGCCGGTTCATGCATGTCGATATCTATAATACTTTCCGAGTTATGATTTTTTGAAAAAAAAGTGACCCTAAATTTTCAGTCCTTATAACTTGGAAAGTTTAAACAACATCGAGGAACGGAGCATCGATTTTTTGTTCGTACATTGGGTTCTACCAGCCTACAAAATTTAACAAAAATCCAAGACCATGCGGGAAAAAGTGTGATCACTTTGCGTGGAATGGCCCCTATACAGACGCAACTAACACAACCGTCTTTGCTGTAGTAGATGTCATCGTTAAGTGTCAAACAGCCGTTGACGCAGCGGGGGTCCCAACCTGACTATCTATAGGGTGTTCTATTTAAAACTTTGAAGATACGACAACTGTTGCAGCATTGCAACACTACATCTAAAAAATGTAGCCTAACATTTTTTTAGCCTAACCTATCCTAACGATTTTTGTTGTGTTGGTTGGTCGGTTAGCTTGGTCATCCATACGACAACGAAAGGAAAAAGTTACAAAAAGTTAAAAAAAAAAAATGGATTTTACATGGGACCACCTATAGAAACGGAAGCCGGTATGGCTATGGTGTGAACGGCTGTTCGACACTTGACGATGACGGTTGCTACAGCGAAGACGGTAGTGTTAGTTGCGTCGGTATAGGAAAAATTCTATGTATTGTACGAAAGTTATTGGAATATGGGGTAAATGATTATAGTCTTATTTTCAATATTTTAGGTTTATTTTACTGGCTTGGAAGGATGTTCGCACTGTGAAAAGCAAACTGGAAGTGAAGCAACGTACAGACCCCCGAAAGGAAATCTGCCGTCCACTTGAAGAAAGAAACTTCGTCTATACCGTGTTTATTACCCTGGCCTCTAACAGTAAACAGTCACAGGCCCTTAGACCTGATGGTGCCAGTCAGGCTATCGTAGCTACACAAAAGACAGTGCTTCTCAACGATTCATTTCTGCATAAGGATTATTGTTGAATAATCCAACAAAAGTTTTTAATTAATATCTCGGAAACTAATAGGAAGCCGAAGTATTCGGCACACTTTATATTTGGA